CCCCGCGGGGCTTGTGGCCTGGCAAAGACCGAGCCCGGCCGGCGCGAGGGGCCGCGCGACGTTATTCTTCACGCCCCGCGAGCTCCGCACCAAGCCCCGCCACTCGCTGCCCCAGAAAGCCGGGGATTCCGCCGGCAGCGCAGCGTTTTATGTGAATGAGTGCGCGTCCTGTGACGTGACTGCCCATATAAGGCCAAATATGGGTGTTCCCCCGCCCCTCGGCGTTGGCCACGCCTCCTGGGCGGGGCGTGCGGGCACACGCCTCCACCCCAGGAGCGGGATGGAGGGGGGTGTCTTAGTCAGAGCGAGAAAGAGGAAGTGGCGGGCGCCTGCTCCCTCTCGGGGGCCCTGCGCGGAGAGACTCACTCATACATCACCCAGCTCTGCCGGTGGGTTGTCAGGAATGCCGGCAGGCCGAGGTGACCCACGCTGTGCGGGGAGAGGAGGAAGCAAATTCGGTTGGAACTCGACGCGGGGCCGCGCTCTGGAACCTCTGGGGCCTCCAGGTGGATCCCGAACGGACTCGGTCTAAGAAGGTGGCATCTGAGATGAGCCGCGGTGGGGCTTGGCTCGATCCTCTTAATGCAGGAGGCCTCTAACGCGTTTTCCCCACTTCTGTTACGTTTTCATTTTCCTTAATAAAAAAGTTCCGGAAAGTAAACAAACCAACCAACCCAAAAGGGGAAGTTGTCAGAGTCAAACGGATTCTGTCTCAGAAGGATTGACCGCCCTCTTCTGTCTCCCTCCATAGATAAGAACAATCTACCGTCAGAGCTAATGAGACCCTGTTTCAACAAACAAGAACAATGCACCAATTTAGGAGCTGTTCTGGGAAGCCTGTCTTGAACCCAATAGCGGGACATTGGATCCACAGGGATCCAACAGAGGGGCTCAGTCCCCATAAACTTGTCCAGGTGGCTTCTGGATTTGGGGGATTATGGTGGATCAGTGTAATCCCAGGCTGTCTACTCCCCCCCCCCCCCCAGCCCTTCTCTCTGGAGCTTCCTGCGCCCGCCTCCATGGCGGGGGGTGTCTAGGTATGATTCGCCCCCTCCCCTCTGTAAGTGTCTATTGAGGACTCTGCTAGCTCCCAGGACATGTGGGCTGCAAACGCATCTCCAAGTGCATCTGCCAACTATTTTACTGTTATCTTTTGATGAGAAAACGTCTGTCCATTAGAGAGGGGGTTTATTACAACTGACCTAAGGGAAGGAGGTTTTTAAGAGAAAGCAGAAATCAATTTCCGAGATCAAATCAATCCATCCCAACACCAGGAATAGCTGACATTGTTTCTGGGTCACAGCTGCATTCAGCCAAAAGCCCTGTCCTGAATATCCAGTGGCTGGCCTGAGATGCCAGCATTGGGGGGTGGGTCAAGAATAAAAGCATCACAAAACCAACAAAAGGTGCTGGCCTAACCCTGGTAGTAGGGTCACACTGATGCCATAGGATGGCTTTTGTCTGGGGTTATCTACTGCAGTTTCCCCCATAACCTGCTCTTCTTCCAGAGGGTTCTGTCTGTGTAACCAGCAGTCTCCACCCCCAGGCATTTCATTCTAGGGCCTCACAGATAATGTGGAGCAGCCACAGGGCCCAGACTCTGTGAGGTGCTTGATAACACCACTGTAGGCAGGACTCACTCCAAGAGTCCCAGAGAGGCCTGGCCTTGTCTCAGGTCTCTAGGTGTCTGTGTCTGTTCACCCACAGTGGGTGGGCTAGGGTGGAGGCTAGAGAAAGTTTCTTAGAGATGACAGCTAAGACAAATTTCCAAGAATGAATAGAAACCACTTGACGTTAAGGAAAGAAGAAAACAACCAAGCAGACAAAAAAAAAAAAAAAAAAAAAAAAGAAGCTGGAATTGCTTGGATGATGGCAGGAATCCTGTTTTTTCCTTCTCTTTGATTCATTTCCTTTCCCTGATTTTTGTTTACATTGTTTATGATTTGCTAATTGTATTTATTATTACTATAATTTGTGTTGTTGAGGCAGGGTCTCATTTATCATTTGGTTGGCAGTTCTGTTCCTGTCCTCCCCTCACCCCCACTTCCTGACAAGGAGGAAAGATCAAGCTGTCTCTTTCCAGCTTCCCTGGATTTCAGGATCCTCTGGGCCCCACCCAACACTGACTTCTGTAAATACATGCTTCCGCTTGTATTTTATTCTATTTCTTTACTTGGTTGCTTTGTATGTGTGTCACGGTGCCTGTGTGGAGGTCAGACAACAACTTATAAGATAACCTTTCTTTCCTTCCACCTAGAGATCAAACCCTGGCTCTAAGCCTTCACCCCCCCATCTCCTCAGCCCATGAAAACATATTTTAGGTGGTGCTTCTTCTTACAAAGCTCAGGGTGCCCTGGAGATGACGATGAAGGCCAGGCAGGTCAGACTGGCCCCACAGAGCTGCAGCCTGGAGCCCTGAGCCCGCACTCATTGCTGCTTTGATTTGTACAGCAGAGATTGCTCAGCTGAAAGTTAAATTCCTGGTGGCTCACACTAAGATCTAGAATTCACACCAGCCAATTTGGACTGCCCTCCTTCAAGAGGTATGAATTATATACCTGAAGCTACACCTCCTAATGTAAGAAGGCATCCACAGGCCTCTTGCCATAAGCGTCAGGTATTGACTTCATTGGCCTGAGTGGCTTAGCATTTGGGGTTATCAGTGAAGCAACACTGGAGGGTGGAGGGTTTATTTGAGAAGGGAAGTGGGATCCAGACTGAGATCAGGGAGAGGGACGGGGATTTCTATAGGTAGTCGATTGAGTTGGTAAGGACTTTCTTGAACTTGGCCATGATCATAGCTGTGAAGAAGCCACATAGAAGCCGGGCGATGGTGGCACACACCTTTAATCCCAGCACTCAGGAGGCTGAGGCAAGTGGATCTCTGTGAGTTCGAGACCAGCTTGGTCTACAAGAGCTAGTTCAAGGACAGGCTCCAAAGCTACAAAGAAACCCTGTCTCAAAAAAAAAAAAAAAAAGATAGAAAGAAAGAAAGAAAGAAAAAGAAAAAAAGAAGCCACACAGATGAGAGATTAAAATGCAAATGGCCCAAGGGGATGTGATCTTCATTACCTTCATCACAAGGAGTGGGTCACACACATGGGAGGGTGACATCAGAGTTTAATAAAATGACTAGATGGATGGTAGTACCATTAGATAGAGACCTACAGCACAGATTAGGGATTGGAGGGAGGGGGGCTGGTGTAGTCATAGTTACAAGTTAGAACTTGTCATGGCTACTGTAGGGGGTGTCTGGTAAGCAGTAGGGTGGCCTGGGAAGCAAGGTACAAAGGTCTGTCAGCTGCCTTGCTATATTGTTTCTTCTCCTCCCTGGCCCTGGAACTGCCCTGCAGGTCTGTCTTTAGACCTGTTCTCTTCTGTCATGTCACCGGGGCTGACTTCTCCAACACAGCTTGTTTCCCATGCAGTCTTGTATCTAAAAGCTTGCCCCAGTGTTTTAACCCTATGCTGTCATCCTGAAATGTTTAAGATTTGTACAAGGGACCCCACATTTTTCTTTTGCAGTTGAATTCCATAAATTATGTAGCTGATGCTGCTCAGAGCTGGGCCACTACCGTCCTCCCCCTACTCCACAGGGCTAGCATTCTGTGTCTCACTTTCCAAGCCTTTTGGATGCTTATTCTACTGCCTGGGAGGCAGAGGCAGACAAGTGTCCGTGAGTTTGCAGTGAAGCTGGTCTACATAGCAGCGAGAGCCTGTCTCAAATAAACAACAAATCCAGATGCCATGTAACCTTCTGTCTCCTCCTGTCCCTGTGCAAGGATCCTTCCCCTCCACACAGCTGCAGCCACAGCTCAGTTCTCCCCTCCCCGGGCCTGATAGTGTTATCTCTCCTGCCACACTCAGGGCCTGTCTGATGTCTGAGTGTCCCTCACATGGTGCCGGCCAGCCAGTGCTGATGGAATGGAATTCATGAGAGATGTGGAGCAGCTGGCCCTGTGGGAGGCACCCAGAGAGCAAGTTGGTGGCAACAGGAATCAGAGCCGGAGACGCTGGGAAGGAAGCAAGGTGGAAGATCCGTAGTCCACAGCCACAGGTCTCAGTGGGAGAGAAAGAGGTGTCTCAGTCAGGCATTACTAAATGGCACAATAATCATGCCGCCCCCCCCCCCATTTGAAATGGCATGAAGGTGGACTGAAGACAAGAGTGGAATTTACTATGACGAAGCCACAAGGCAGGATCTTGTACCAGTTGTCATTTTCTCCCCTCGGGCAGTTTTCTCCAGAGTGAGCTCATATTTTCTGAGGGTTTCTGACTTTTGTTTGCGCCTCATGCTTTGTTCATTGGTGTCTTGCACTTGGAAGGCCCTTGTCAACCTTGGGTCTCTCTTCGGAACACAGCATACACCGTATTTAGCTAACTCTTCCAGAGAGCTCATGGACTGTGGTGAGTGTGGGCTCATGGCGTCCTCAGCAGGAGCCCCTGGGGCTCTTGCCTGTCCCAGTGTGGGCCAGGCAGACGGAGGGGGTGGATTAACGAGTGTCCACAGCTCAGAGCTCAGAGCAAACCCATGAGGAGCCCAGGCCCAGTCCTCCTGGAAGGCTGTATCTTGCCCACCCAGCTCCCCTGCGATTCACACATTTGCTCCCCCCGCAATTCACTTTTGCTCCGCACTACAGTGATGAAGTAGAAAATTCAAAGAAGTGAAAAATGGGTAGGATTTTTTTTTAAAAAAAACAACTTTTTATTACATTTATGTGTTTACCGGTGGGGAGGGGCACAAGCATGTCGCAGCATGTGGAGTTCTTGGGGGCCGAGCTCAGGTTGTCAGGGTTGGTGACAAGCACCTTGACCGGCTGCGCCATCTCTCCAGACTTTGTTTGGTTTTTTTAGGGTGCAACTTCTTCCAGCTGGCAGATCCAGAGCTGACCTTGCTTTGACCTTAGAGGAAGGAAAGGGAACTGTTAAGAATCAAAGGTCTGGATTGCTGCTGTCGAGTCTCTGCTGCCCACGTCTAATCATTACTCTACTATTTATAGCGTATATGGCTTTCTCTCCCTGTGGCTACTCCCACCTCTCCTCCCCAGGATCTTAGAACCCAACAAAGCTAATACTCACTCCAGGATACTGTGAAACGGTTCATTTTCTTAGAGCCAGAGTGACCTGCTCACCGTCTCGCAGAACGTTTGACGAGTGTAACCCCGAGAACTAACACCAGCCAGTTGAATGCCTTCTTGTTCCTGTCAGGAAATTGTGCCAAAGGCCCTGTCCTTCACAGTCACAATTAGACTTCACTCTCCCGCTGCCCAAGGAGTCAGCTGATAAAGCTTCTTTGCCACAGCTCGAGAAGACAGTTACCCAAGAAAAGCACTGCCCGAGACTAAGTCTTAGCACCCTGTGCTGAGTGGGACCAGTAGACTTCAGCCCCGACCTGGAAAGGACGGGAGGATTTGTTCATGCAGAAAGGGGGGAAAGGCTGTAGCTGCAGGAGATGCTGTCCCACAGGGAGTGGGAGGAAGGAAGCAGTCCCGTCATTTCCTGGGAGGATGAAACCTCCTTGGTGGGGGGCAGGGAGGTTCCAGAATGCTGAGAAGGTGGGGGAGGTGAGACAGAAGACATAACACCTGCTGTGTGACACCAAGCATCACGCGTACCAGGGCTAAAAATGTTTATTCCCTTTTCACCTAGTAATTCCACTTCTGGGAAATAATCTTAAAATCTAAACACGGGGGAGGGAGAAGTAAGTATATCCACAAGAGTGTTTATCAGAGAGCTATTTATAAGAATAAAATTGGAAGCAGCCAACACATCTCAAAGAAAGGCAAATAGTATATTCAGAAGCCACCTTCAGAAATGGCACAACACTCCCAATCAATTACGCTAACACGGTAAGGGAACTGACAGCTTGCGAAACAGTAGCGGCCCTTTGTTGGCTGCTGCTGTCTACTGCACTGACGGGTGCTTTCCGTAGTCTGTCCACTCACACCCCTGAGGGGGTGGGACCTTTCATTTATTTAGAGACGGAGGTAGGGGGTGCACACGGTGGGATTGTGCCTGAATTTCCCACCGTTACCTTCTGTGGTAGGCCCAGAGGCGGCAAGGCCACCACCGCCCCCACTGGGGGAGAAAAGCATCAACTACAGCAAGGGCTCTTTCTTAGATAAAGGAGGTACAAGAAGTGGTAATCCCCCCCCCACACACACACCCAAATTTTCTTCATTTTCTAAATTAGTTTCTTTAAGCTTTATTTCTTATTATTCAGAAAGGAAGGCAGATGGTGCAGTGTGTGTGTGGTCAGAGGACAACTTAGTGACTGGCTTCTCCCACCTTTATCTCGGCTCAGGGGAATCGAACTCACGTCCTCAGACTGTACAGCAGCAGCTTTTAACCCCTAAGCCATCTCGCTGGCCCGATTTTCTAAAATTTTCCTAGTGGAGTTGTGATATCTTCTGAGTCCTTTTCCGATTTTCAGTTGTCCATTGTGCTTGTCAGTCTGCAGTTAGCTTTACTTTCCTGCCTTGTTTCGTACAGGTCTTGGTGACATTATCGTCTTCCAATGCTTTTGACCTTTTTTGTGGGAGGAGTTGAGGGGAAACACAGACTGTTTTGAGCATGCATTTGGCAGAATTTATTTACCTTGAAGGATATTTGAGGTTTCTAACTTTTTAATTGGTTTATTTTGGGTTTTTGAAACAAGGTCTCAAGTAGTCCAGGCTAGCCTCCTTTAGAAACAAAGTATTTGCTTTTCAGAGAAAAGACGGGCTTTCACAGATTGAGGGTGCAGGAAGTTCATTGCTGGACCCACATGGAAAAAGATGATTGCCATTGTTGAAATGGTGGTCTGGGGGTGCAGTGCTACACGAGGGCCCAGAGTTACCGCCACGATCCAACAAAGGTGAGGATGTGGTTAAGGCAGCAGCTTCTCTAGCATATCCCCCTCCCACCTCATCCCTCACCTTTCCCCTCAGAACTCTCCTACAGGTGAACTCCCCAGGGCACATCTAGGGATTTTCTTCTTGAGGGAAGTTAGAGATTGGATGCCCCCATCCCATCTCTGACAGCCACCCCTTGACAGATATTAGCATGTGGTTCTGGTGTGTGTGTGCGCGTGTGTGTGTGTGGTATGTGTACACTTGTGAGCATGCATACATGTGTGTGTATATACTTGTGGGTATACATATGCGTGTGTGTACACTAGTGGACATGCATACATGTGTGTGTATATATTTGTGGCTATGCATACATGTGTGTGTACACTCGTGGATATCCATACATGTGTGTATACATTTGCAGGTATGCATATGTGTGTGTAGGTGTACACTTGTGGACATACATGCATGTGTGTATATATACTTGTGGGTATGCATACGTGTGAACCCCCGTAGACATGCATACATGTGTGTGTATACACTTGTAGGTATGCATGTGTGTGTGTGTGAACCCTCGTGGATATGTATACATGTGTATATACACTTGTGGGTATGCATGTGCGCATGTGTGTACACTCGTGGACATGCATACATGTATGTGCATACAATTGTGGATATGCATGCATGTGTATGTAATGGTAACACCAAGCATCACACAAACTAGAATATGCTAGATAAACTACCATTGATCTACCCTAGCCCTTTTATCTTGACCTTCAAGGTTTGATGCTCCAAACACAAGCCAGGCTGGCTGGAACTCCTGGCAGTCCTCCTCAACCTCGCTAGCACTGGGATTAGCGTGGTACCTCCATGCCGGGCTAAGCAGCTTGATTCTGTTTAGCTTTGGGCAAATCCTCTTCAGAAAGACAGTTACTCTGCTGCCCACAGGGCACCAGGATGCAAATGTGATTCCACTTCATTCACTTCCTCTCTTTCCCTGGAGGTGTTTCAAAAGCAAATGTCATCTGAAAACCCAGGAACCTCAGCCAATTCCTTACCCCTGCCCTGTGGCCTGCAGCCAGCTTTGTTGGGGCCGTTCGCTGCTGTTTCAATTACGTGAAGGAAAGGACTGGAGTTAGGGGTCCAACTGGCTGTGTGATCTTGGGCAAGCCAGTTTCTCATCTTTACGCAGGGCTCGTGGATGCTACCCGATAAGGTTGTATGGAGTAAACGCACTGCCATTGGATGTCCAGTCAACACTGTCTACATCAGAGACAATGGTGAGTCATGGGTTCAATCCATGTATCCTAGGAAGGAAGCCTTGTTGCCCTTCCTTTATCCACACGGAGAGCTCTGTCTGAGAACCTCTGGTCCAGGCTGGGAAGCCTTCTCACTTCTCAGTCTGTGAGACTGCAGCTTGAAGCCACGTAAGCAAAAAGACAAAATCAACCATAAGCAAACAATGTTTTGAAGGCAGTTCCTAAACAAACAGAAGTCCAAACCTGTCCTGCCTCTGTGCTGGCCAGGACATTGTGTCCCAGCTCCTTTTCATTTTTATCTTACTCCGATCTCTTCCGTTAGCATCAGCAGCCAGAACACCAATCTATCCCTAAGAGGAAAGGCATCGACTCAGTGAACTTTAAAAACTATGTTCAAGATGTGTTATTAGAAACAAAAGCTGATGTCACAGCAAAAGCATACACCTGTCTTCCCTTGGGAGGGTGAGGCAGGAGGATTACCTGGAGTGCAAGGCCAGCTGAGTTTTATACTGAAACATTTATCTTAAAGACAAAAAACAAGGGACTGGAGTAATGGTTCGTTGGATAAGAGCACTGGCTGCTCTTCCAGAAGACCCAGGTTCAATTCCCAGCACCTACCTGGCAGTTCACAATTACCTTTAACTCCAGTTCCAGGGAATTTGATGCTTCTGGCCTCTGAACAGACCATCCACACACATAAACATGATTGAAAAAAAATAAAGGTAAATCTTTAACAACAACAAAAAAGAAATTTAAAAAAAAACCACTGCATTCTTGAAAACAGTCAGAAGGTAAATCGCTTGCAGGAGATGTGACTGTTGTTTATCCCGTGTTGTAAAAGTGCCTGGAGCAAGAAAGCAAAGCCAGAAGTTCAGCCACAGGAAGCGGAGCCGTGGAGAGCAAGCCCACTGGGAAGTCCAGTAGACTGCCTCAACTTCTCCAGTCAGTTTCTGCGGGCTATTATGAGTACCTGATTTGATGATATCATCTCTAACTGTCCCTTTTTGTTCTTGTTCATGGAGACCTCAGCAGACGGGACAATTCCCTCTGCCCTGGATCTCTATCAGCAGCTCCAGATTTCCCACTCCATTTCTGCTGGATGTTTTGCTATCTGCCCACCCATCCATCTATCCCTTGTTATTTATTCTTTTACTTTGGCTGACTGTATACTTGATAAACTCACTCATTCACAACCTACAGTGTAGCTGTCCTGGATCATTGCTGGACTGCACAGAACAAAGGAAAATGACAGCAATGACAAAACTGACCTCGTGAGGTTGTCTATCAGGCTGAAGAGGAGGATCTGGGGCTGGACACCCAGCACAGGGTTTGCCACTCAGTAAACACTCAAACGTGGACTGAATATTACTGGTATAGCTGGGCTGCATAGCATGGCAGCATTTGCCTATAATCCTAGCATGTGGGAGGTGGAGGCAGGAGGACGAATAGTTAGGGGTCAACTTGGACTACACAGTGAGACCAGATATCAAAAGCTACAGGAGGAGGGAGATGGTTTAATGGACAATGTGCTTGCCATACAATCTCAAGGACTGCAGTAAGGATTCCCAATACCCAAGTAAATTCTGGGTGTGTCTAGTGTCTGCCTGCAATCCTAGTTCTCGGAAAGCAGAGACAAGAAATCCTCAGGGCAAGCTGCTAGCTAATCAGCTAGCTATGGGTTCAGTGAAAAGCTCTATCTCAGTACTTAAGCGGAGAACAATTGAAGAAGACCCCAGGCATCAACATTTGGCACCTGCAAATGTGTGTCTGACATGTGGGTGGTAGTTTGAATGAGAACAGCCCCCAAAGGCTGATAGGCTTGAATGCTTGGTCCTAGGATAGTGGAACTGTTGGGGAAGGATTAGGAGGTGTGGTCTTGCTGGTGTAGATATGGCCTTGTTGAAGGAGGTGTGTCACTGGGGGTTGGAGGTTTCAAAAGCACATACCAGGCCCAGTCTCTCTCTCTCTCTCTCTCTCTCTCTCTCTCTCTCTCTCTCTCTCTGTGTGTGTGTGTGTGTGTGTGTCTGCCTGCTGCCCAAGGATGAGGATATACAACTCTCAGCAACTCCATGCTCCAGCACCATGCCTTTTGGCTTTCTGCAGTGATGATCATGGGCTAGTTCTTAAAAATTGTAAGCAAGCCCCTTTCTTTCTTTCTTTCTTTCTTTCTTTCTTTCTTTCTTTCTTTCTTTCTTTTTTTCTTTCCTTCATTCCTTCTTCCTTCCTTCCTTCCTCTTTCATGTATTTTGTTTTACTTATTTACTTATTTTTTAGGTTTATTTATGCATTTTATGCATATGGATATTTCGTCTGCATGTACATCTGCACACCAGAAGACAGCATCAGATGGTTGTGAGCTGCCACATGGGTGCTGGAACTG